ACACACACACACACACACACACACACACACACACACACACACACACACACACACACACACACACACACACACACACACACACACACACACACACACACACACACACACACACACACACACACACACACACACACACACACACACACACACACACACACACACACACACACACACACACACACACACACACACACACACACACACACACACACACACACACACACACACACACACACACACACACACACACACACACACACACACACACACACACACACACACACACACACACACACACACACACACACACACACACACACACACACACACACACACACACACACACACACACACACACACACACACACACACACACACACACACACACACACACACACACACACACACACACACACACACACACACACACACACACACACACACACACACACACACACACACACACACACACACACACACACACACACACACACACACACACACACACACACACACACACACACACACACACACACACACACACACACACACACACACACACACACACACACACACACACACACACACACACACACACACACACACACACACACACACACACACACACACACACACACACACACACACACACACACACACACACACACACACACACACACACACACACACACACACACACACACACACACACACACACACACACACACACACACACACACACACACACACACACACACACACACACACACACACACACACACACACACACACACACACACACACACACACACACACACACACACACACACACACACACACACACACACACACACACACACACACACACACACACACACACACACACACACACACACACACACACACACACACACACACACACACACACACACACACACACACACACACACACACACACACACACACACACACACACACACACACACACACACACACACACACACACACACACACACACACACACACACACACACACACACACACACACACACACACACACACACACACACACACACACACACACACACACACACACACACACACACACACACACACACACACACACACACACACACACTGAGACAGTTGTATTGTCCAGGGTAACTCTACCTTCCCCAACAACCCGAAGCCCTCTAAATACCAGTTCAGCAATACAGGTGCTAATGCAATGCACCAATTCGCGCCGTTTGCCAGGTGCCTTCTACCACCCCATCATCCCCTCTTCTCTGTCGACTTGATCTTCTTACTCTTACTCAGATATATCAGCAAAAATTATTATTTTAGTAGTCTTTTCAGCACTTTCTTTGATTTAGTCAATGGTCGTGCCACGCGGGGTCAGGCGTCACGTCTGCTTCGTGTCCCGTTTTCGCCGGGTCCTTCCGGTTGATCCACTGTTCAGTTCATTGGTGTGTACTGGAACTGCCTGCCGCCTGATGAGTGATGTCCGCTCCATCACAATTCCTTCTGCATTTAAAGGGGAACTGTCACCAAAAAAATTCTTTGTCTTATCTTGTAGCTCTTTGGCTCCTGATCACAATGGTGTTATCCGTTTTTCTCTGCGATGGCTGGAAGTGGGTGAAAACTTGAAAAGAAGGTGCCCAAAATTGTCCCGAAGTACCGAGTGACGTCACGGCGGACTTGACCTCACGCGTACATTCGTCGTCAAAAACAAAGTCCAGCCCGTGTGCTGGTTGATCGAGCTAGCTGTTCCAATGTACGGTCCACGCGTGCCTTTTGAACTGTAACACAAATGGGTACGTCGTACCGAAGGAGAATGCCAAAGAGGCAGTGACCCACGTGCAGCTACACAGCCAAATCAAAATAAAAAGCAGCTGAGCTTTCACCTTTTGGACTTCTTCCGCGAGGATCTAAGTTTTATTTTGTGAGCACGGAAGTACGTCGTTGTTTTGAACTTTTCGTGTGAGGAACAACACGATGATGAGTGCGTATGCAGAAAACAGTACTCCTCCGGCCGGCGATAACACCACCAACCCGAGCCCCAAAGGAACGCAATGTAGGTACGTGAAGGCGATTCATCTGGCGATGTTGCTGAAGATGCCGATGACAAACTCCGACGTCTTTCATTTCAGAGCCGAGTGGGCAACACCGCCACCTTCGGCTTCGATACAACGACATCATTTTCAAGCACGAGGTATGTGTGTCACACTAACAGCAAACAAACATCCTTCCACTCCTTCGTAATCACAAATAAAACAAAGAGCTGGAGCTTCGTGGAGGAAGTACCAGTGCGACAAACTGCTGTCGACTTTTGTATATTTTGTCCCTTTTTGGCGTTCTCATTGTGTACAACGTACACATCGAGTGTCCGAGTTCAGAAGGCAAGCGTGCACCGTACATCGAACAGTTGGCTCGGTCGACCAGCACACGGGCTGGACTTCGTTCTTGACGATGAATGTACACGTGGAGGTCAAGTCCGGCG